TCCATGTCATCGGTGCCCAGGGAGCAGTTGTTGTTGGAGATTAATTGCCTTGTTCAAGGGCAAAACGGCTAATTTTTCCACCTTGCTGGCTTGGGGGATCCGGATCAGCAACCTTTCGGTTACTCACCCAACGCGCTTAACCACTAGGCTACCTGCCACCCCTTTGAAGAGGTTACTAAAGAGGAGATAACTGGGGGCTGTTCTGCTGGGAAGGACATTCCCATGACAAGTCTTGTAATGTAACTAAGAGCCTCTTCTACAATTTGCATAAAAAATACAGTTGGCTACACATATTACATAATTTATTATACACTTAAACTTCATAGGCTGCTTGCTACGTCTCAACCACTACCTCCGGAAGTAGCTCACGACACTCGCCTGACAGTTGCACCCCTTGAAGCAGGGCAGTGAAAACACAATGGTGTTGAGCCAACACTCCTAAAGTATAAATGGTAATAACAGTTTTTGAAACAGCTGAAATGTATAGACTTTTTCCTAATATTTGAAACTTGTTTCATTGAGTTTTTAATTGAAATTGCAGTAACAGCCTGTTGTCGCTGGCTGCACCGAGCCATGTCAAAATATGGAAGCCTATCCCCAACACCAAAAACATGTAAAATGTAGATCATACAAATGGGATATGTTTTTTTATTTGTAACATTGTGTGGTGATTAATAGAGGTGGCACCACAGGTCCCAGAGTTGTGGGAGGTAATTTGTTTTAACAGGCCTGAGCTTGCTGTATGCAGGGTTGCGTCATGTAGGCCTTTGCATCTGTAGTTAAAAAGATACCCATTCAGTCTGTCATCACTATTGTATTGATTGATTAATTCCAGTCAATAATTTTGGATTGAAAGTAGCCTAGCCATCCGAAGTTTGAATATAAAACAAATTTGATAACATTCACATTTCTCAGAACACAAATAAATTGGCCTATTTTAGGCTATAAAAACAAGATGTTATGGGTCAGGCCCAGATGGGATCAGAGCGCATAGGCTTCTCTAAGCTACCTACAGCTGTGATTGTTATCAGTAGGCTACAGTTGATCAGACAGAAGCACAGACTAATTGTGCACGTTGAGAAATCATGAGGCATTTTATAAAAACAGTGAATTCACTTATGCCCATGTTTTCAGTCAAATTTGAAATTTACATTTACGTTTTAGTAATTTAGCAGACGCTCTTATCCAGAGCGACTTACAGTTAGTGAGTGCATACATTTTCATACTGACCCCTGTGGGAAACGGACCCACAACCCTGGCGTTGCAAGCGCCATGCTCTACCAACTGAGCAGTATTGATATCGTAGTCCCCCTGTAGCTTAGTTGGTAGAGCATGGCGCTTGCAACGCCAGGGTTGTGGGTTCGTTTCCCACGTGGGGGCCAGTATGAAAATATATGCACTCACTAACTGTAAGTAGCTCTGGATAAGAGCGGCTGCTAAATGACTAAAATGTAATATTGAAAAAAACGAAGCATGGTTTGTTGTAAGGTAGGCCTACTGTACTTATATCTTAGTATGAGAGGGTTAAATGTACATTTTTGATAGGCTCAAGTTACTTGGTGAAGACAGCTGTTAGTAACTCTGTGCTTTTGTCTTGAAGCTAAAATGTAATGAGTGTAGCCTACAGCCAAGAAAATGAACCCTTTAATTGTCTCCACATGCTTGTGAATTGTTGCATTATTTAAGAGTGTAATATGGTTTGGTTGCATTATTCAATAGTGTAATATTTTAGAAGAAAAGTTTCTGTCATAGATGCGTTAAAGAGGTAAATCGAGCTCGACCAAAACTAGGGAATTGCCATGGAAATGCATAGGGGAAAGGGCCGTGGGGCAAAGATCCCAAGTCTCCTCATTGCCCCCCAGCAAAATGTGCCTAATGTTTATGTGTATTTCACACTATGTTGAGGTAAAAATAGAAGTATAATGCTTGTATGAATGTCAACCCCAACACATGTTCATGTCATCGTTACCAATCAACTGCATTATAGTTAAAAACGACTTCGATTACCACCACCGATTTCTGTATGCTAGCTATGCTAACAAGCTTATACGAACAGGAGTTAGCATTTAGCAGTCACTTCTTCTAAACCTGAAAAGGGACTTCTACATATGACACAGCGAAAACAGCCAAATATATCCAAATTGGACTTAAGTAACCACATTGTGGGCCTGTTACAATACATAAATCATGATGGATTTGACGAGTATCCACTTTGTTAGAACAGATTTGTTGAATGTGTACCAATCTGGTCTTTGGGACGGTCTGCGTTCCATTGACCCCTTTACCGCATCTATTGTTGAATAGTTTGTGCTTACTGGCTAGTGTCTACTGTGATATTTACGGTCAATTTGAGCGGCGGACCAAGAATGCCACGTTGCCAGCCACAACGAAGGGTAAGGCAAGGATGTAACGTAAATTGAAAAGTATAATTATCTTTTGCCACTCCGCTCCTCAGACTCTCCTTCATATCTCGTAATGGGAATTCAGTCTAAGTAAAAATACTTTGAAGTACTACTTAAGTCGTTTTTTGGGGTATCTGTACTTTACATTACTATTTATATTTTTGACAACTTTAACTCCACTACATTTGTAAAGAAAATATGGACTTTTTACTCCCATACATTTTCCCTGACACCCAAAAGTACTTGTTACATTTCGAATGCTCAGGGAGGACAGCAAAATGGAACAATTCACACCAGGGGCATCATTTCAGCTAAACCTAGGGTATGGCAAAGTGGATTTAAAAAAATCAAATTGAAGCTCATTTACTGCATTTCTACAGCATTTTTCAACTCTAAAATGCAATTTGAAGAACAGCAAAAACAAGCTAAATTGACTGCAGCCATTATAACTTTGTTGCTGTATCTTCATTCACCTCAGTCAATACGAGACTTAACATTCTACAAACATATGTTATATAAGAATTAGCTGCTATGTGTCATGTCAAGTCAAACAGCAGTTACCTAGCCAACGCCATCTACTACAGTCATCTTTACCTCTGCACTGTTTCGAGAAAAAGTTGCACTGTTCCCTGCATCTGCATCATGAGCTCTCCATAAAGCCAGCCAGCCATACGAACAGCCTTCCCTCCTGCTCCCAGGTGTCCACATGGTCCTGAAGTCAGCCTCTAATACTGCTGAACTCCATTTGCCTTTTAATCGGAATTGGAATGATTTCAGTAGCCTATTAGAAAATGTTGGTGGATCGCCAATTTGCCCTGCGGGTGATTTTACTTGGCCCCCCAAGTTTTCTGAAGAAAAAGAAAAGGTAGCTTTTATTTGGGGGATCTGTTCCAAAGTATTACCACGCATAATAAAGAGATATATGTGATCGTATACAAATGCAAGCAAGGTTTGAAATGATTATGTTTTCGTCAAATATTTTATCTGTTTGGGCTTCTTGCGGTCAATTTGCAGTCTATAAATTATATTTTATTATGTTCTAGCCCCCTGACCATCTGCTCAATAATAAAATCAGCCTGCGGCTGAATCTAGTTGATGATCCCTGAGCTAGGGTAATCGCGCCTGCTCAAATACTGTGTTTGTAAATTATATCTGAGTGTTGGAGTGTGCCCCTGGATGTCCATAAATAAATTAAATAAACAACAAAATTGTGCCTTCTGATTTGATGTATGGCTTTTTTTTTTTTTATGACAATTGAGTACTTTTCCCACCACTGTACTTAAGAACATTTAAAACCAGATACCTTTAGACGTTTACTCAAGTAGTATTTTACTGGGTGACTCAATTTTACTTAAGTCATTTTCTAAGTTATCTTTACTTTTACTCAAGTATGACAATTGAGTATTATTTTTACACCACTGCCCATGACAGAGGTGCAATGCTGGGACAAAGGCATGATGTTACATGTCAATGTAGCAGGCCTACTGTTCAGCCTAGAGTCTCTTGAGCCTGAGACATTTAGGAAATGTGTTCTTGCTTGAACTCTGACCTAATGTTAGCAGCAACTCATCTATCTTTCAGGCACCAGAGTGATTAGAAAGTGGTCAAATATGTATTTCAATCAGCTTCTGGTGGTGTAATTTGTGGCCCACCTCCCACCTCGTTAGCACATGTGGGCCACAGGTCATCATGTCTCAGAAGTCATGTCCCCAGGGGGACATCGTTTGTCTCAGTGATACGGATAAGGTCGCTGTTGCAGGTTAGGCTGATAATTAAGTTGTAAATTGTAGGCGCTTATTACCAAAGCAATATAAGAGGAATATAGAAATACACCAAATATTATGTAACATTGGAAATGTATGGAAATAGCCTATATTAGACAATGGTCTGCAAATTGCCAATTTGGAGGATTGTAAATTGGCATACCATTTTTGTTGACCCCCTGAATGTCTGATCTAGAGAGGTTAAGTAACATAAAGTGTCAGGTAATAGACAAAGTGGAGATGTTCTCTAGGGAGGCTGTCAGAATAGTGCACCCTTAGCGGAGTTGCCAACAAACGGATGCATCCGGTTATCAGGGATACAGCTACTTCGACCTAGCTTCCTCTTTAGCACGAAACCAGATGTGGGACCTACGCTCAGGCGTCTTTTTACGCCTGCTACGTTAGGTTAGAATAGAGTGTCAGATATAAAGCGCACTGAGCACCTCTGAGCGCCTCATTCTATTCTACAGGATACAGGGGAGCTGCGCGTAATATTAGATCATCACTCACAGAGTGTAACCTAGCGTGCAGGAGGGGATCAGGGAGGACAGAGGGGTTAGCATGAGACAACTGGATCAATAAACTGCTGCGGCGCTATTATATTTGACCGCAACAAGTGAGTGACTATATGTCACATTCCCGCCGTTATTTACAAAGAGAGCATAATTTTTGGATACCTACCACAACGTTGGTGCTGCGCATTTGCACACAAGCCCATGGAATACAGTCCTGTCTGACAGTTTGATGAGAAGTCACTGGTCCTGTAGCGCTCACCCATCACTGCCCCGAAATTACGTTTCATAGAGGCTGCAATCGAGACCCGCAGTTGCCTGCCATGAGTGCTAATTTGGCTTTGATTCTGGCGACCTGTCTGAGCGGAGTTTGGGGATGCCAGTTGCCCCATGACTGGAGACCACAGACCGAGGCGTGCCGCGCGGAGCTCGCGGAGATCATCGTTTTCGCCAAGGTGCTTGCGCTGCACAAGGACTCATACAGTGTGTACAACTACCTGCCTTGGCAGTATGACACGGACCTCTTCTTCTCCGCCGAGATCGAGCTGCAATGTGACCAGGCGTGGGGCAGCATGCTGGAGGTCCCTGCCGGTTCCCGGTTCAATGTCACCGGGCTGGGCTACTTCCCCTGTTACTCCTACAGCGCAGTGGAGAACAACTCTTACTATTTCTTTCTGAGGTAAGAGACAGTGACATCCTGGTGTTGGAGGAGCATTTATCACTTTCAAGCAAGTGTGGCGGTTTTGTAAGTCAGAAATGACACAATCATAATTCAACAGAAAATAGGCATACAGTGATTTGGTAGTGTAATTGCCTGAACTTGTGTCTAGATACAATATAACCCTTACATTTCCAGCTGTGTTATCATTTTTTACAGTCATAATGAGAAACTTGTGTTTGATGAATACTTGGTGAAATAGAGTTGAGAGTGCTGGTCTGGCCGTTAGAATTGTCTTGGGATGCAAACACAGCAGGAATAATAACCCAAACCTGCTGTGTGTGTGTGTATGTGTGTGTGTGTGTGTGCGTGCGTGTGGTGTGTGTGTGTGGTGTGTGTGTGGTGTGTGTGTGTGTGTGTAATATGAAAGTGTGTGATATGGAGTAGCTAGATTGTGAGAAAAACAGCAACAGATTGAAAAGCGGATCAGGTACCAGTCCTTCTGAAGTAATGCCTTTAATGATACTACAGTATCTATCATGGACAGATGGATGATGCACATCAATTTCCTCAGATGTCACACCTAACGTGGGGGCAACAGATGGAGAGAGAGAGAGACTCAGCACTAGCACCACCAGTGAATTTGACCCCAACACGTTTGACCCAAAGTTAACTTTGTCTCACATATTATAGGTAAAATATCTGTGCTACTTTGTGATAGTTAAAATGCCTTACACAATTTACAGCATATCAGTAGATTTGTTTCCACAAAGGCAGGTTTTCATAATGTGAGTTGATTGACACCTTAATACTTATCTCCCTTGGTTTTAGAGGGGAACAACACAACAGTCTTAGAAAAAGTGCCTATGGCATTCCAGCTTTTATAATTACAGAGGCTGACAGTTCCCAACTGGTTAGGGGAGACCCTTAAAGCTGGAAGTTTAGGCTGAGGGTGTTATCTCCACACCAACCACAGGCTGGCTGGGAAGTCCTTTGTATCCCAAACATAGAACAACCCTGCTGAATGACACCAGGCCTTCTGTTCTGGGAGATTAACTTGTGCCAACAGGTTTAACTGAGGTCTCATGTCCTGTGTTTCTTTCATTCTCAGCACCTAGAACAGATAAAAGCACATTCAATCAAAGAGTCTTTCAAAGGCATTCCATTGTGGAGTATTCAGCTATCCCGTATGGATGTTCACGGCCAAGTACAGTAATGACTGTGTGTTTAGATAGTCAGGGGGAGAGTGTGTGTATATGTGTGTTTTGTAGATGAGTTGGATGGCCAGCTGCATTGTTTATAGTTTTTTTGAAGACCCCAGGTTCATAGCCCCCCTGCTGCCAGTCAATACACTCACTCACACACACACACACACACACACACTCACACACACACACACACACACACACACACACACACACACACACACACACACACACACACACACACACACACACACACACACACACACACACACACACACACACACACACACACACACACACACACTCACACATGCACACACACACACACGCACACACACACACACACACAGACTACATGCATATACGTATTAACACAGGTCCACACACACACACACACACACACACACACACACACACACACACACACACACACACACACACACACACGAACTTGTGTGTTCTGTTTGAGAGGAAAGGTTGATGGTGTCACTATGTAGCCGTTCTCCATCACTGGGAAACCCATAAGGCTTTGGGGTTTTTGCTGATCTGAAAGTCTACTCATCCTGAAACTACAAACCATAGGGATTAACCCTGCAATCAGCCAGGGGACCCTGGAAGGAAACAACCTAATAAGGATCACAATAAGACACAGACATACGGGTCGAAGGATTTAGTGTGCCATGAAAATAAAAAAGCCTACATTTACATGTAATGTGCTGTGTTAAACTGTCACTCAAAGTTACATAAAAAGCCTATATTAGAATATGCCTCCTGTGATGGATCTCTAGACTACCTCCCTCCATTAGGATGCTGGGATGGTGGGGGGAGGGTGTCTGCCTGAGCCCATAGTGCTGCTCTGCAGCTTCTCAGCTAATCTCAGACCTCCGTCATAAACTGTTAACAGAGGAGTCTCCAGTTCCAGAAAGCATTGTTCTCGTCGTTCTGCAACGCTGGCTCTCTCAGGCGCTGAATCAGCAAGCTAGTGCTGAAAAGTTTCCATCAGAGTCTCCAGTGAGCTCCCATTTCCTGTTAAAGCCCCCCATACGACACAGTCTGAAACAGCCTCCCCAATCAATCATGACTATGAGTGCCCAGGACAGGACAAAAGGGAGTTTAGCATAGGAAGAAATGCAACAAGGAGTCTCCCACAGGACCGAAACTGTAGACTGGTTGATTGGTCGGCCTGTCTATGCCAAATGTAGTCATCTCAATCCCGTAACATTGTTACTTGTCTGCTGTTAAACAAAGAGAAGGGACATATTATTATTCTTGGTGATTCTGTGAGTAGAATGTGTGGGTTAAGGTTTTACAGTTCATGCCTCAGTTAGGACTTAATAGTTCATCCCTTGCTTTCATCTAGCCGGATGGATTGAAGGGGTCATGACAGCCATTCATTCTGAACTCACAAGGATGTCTCCACAAGTTCAGTCAATAAATCTCAATGCAGTGGTGGTGCTCTGGTGAGCTTTAAGCCTCAAGACACTCAGCTGCCTGCCCCTAGAGAGGGCTACTGTAATTTGGAAGAAGCCTCCTTCCCTATGTTTTAATTCCAAGAATCACCCATTTGAAAAGATAGAATAGGTGAAAGCACTGAAAGCAATAAACAAGTGCTATATTCTCTCCATTGTGTTCAGTTCACTTATGTACTGTAAGTAGGATGGGAAAGGATGCTTGCTTGAAGAACTGAGAGACACAGCATAGGGCTACTGGGGGAATTGATTCCAGGGTGTCTGCCTTAGTCTCCAATACCATGGAGAAGGCTTGTTATTTGGCTCAGGTATATTGCACATCCCAGCGGTTCCCCCTTTGTTAACCTCCTCCTTTGAGTCTTTGGTGTGTGGCTGAACCATGAACCAACCAGCCAGCTGGTTCCATTTTGACAGGGCAAAACTCACCAGTCAAACCGTCACAGAAAAGCAAAGAAATAGGAGAAAGGCTGCATGGAAACATTAATTAAACCAACATGCTCTTGACTAAACAAGGTTAAGACGAGATGACAAGCTTTCCTATGGAGGACCAGGTTTTGTTGTGTGGAGGGATGGGGGAGAGGGAGGTGAGCTCTGTTTAAAGTTGAGGAATTTGAGAGTGGATGTGAAAAGGGGTCCGAGAACCAGCAGACACGTACGCTCTCTGGAAGCCATTAGGGTTTGAAAAACAGGATAATCCCTATAACTGCTGTCGATACCTTATGCTGAGAGTGTAATGGAGATGATACGTTGGTTTGGCAGAACTTTGACAATATAGCTGGCTAATACAGACACAGCATCCAGGATATCATTTAGCTAAACCAGCATAGACATATTTTTCTTAAGATATTGTTTTTTTCTACAACCATTGACTGTGGAACTGTTTTGGAATGTATACATCAACTGGTTGGGACGTAATTATTTGCCTGCTAAGTGCCATGGAATTTGTAGAAGCTGAGAAGAAATTGAAACCAGTGGAAACATTGGCTATTAAACTGCATTTACTAGTGCTGGTTGACATTACTGTGCCATCTGGGAGTATTTGGTTGGTTTATACATTGGGTTGTAATCCAATAGGGACCAAATGTCTTGAGACTTACATGCTAGACTTGTGAAGTAGGGGAAACACTGGCCACAGCCCTCAACATGCAACAGAGCAGAGAGAGACAGAGAGTGAGAGAGGAAGGGATGGAGGGAGGGCGAGAGCGATCGAGTGAGTGAGGGATGGAGGAAGGTGGAGAAAAAGAGAGAGGGACAAAACGTACTGTTTATGAAATATATAAAACAATCCACAAAGCCGTGCTTGTCAGGATGGGGAAGGATCCATGTCTCAGGAGCATGGAATTAATAAAACCAGTGCATCAGTTATTGTTTTGAGGGAGATATTGGTTCCAGTGTCCCTCAAAATATGCAGTGAAATTAATTTCAAAGCTATTGAAATGAACACACACACACACAGCACACACACACAGCCATTATCATTGGTCATGTCCATTGTGAGTGTGTTCTTGTATCTGTGCTAAATAGTCTGGTAATTAGAACCATATGCATTTTTTGGGCCAACAGTACAACACAGAGTGTTATTCCCTCCGGATCCTCTCTCCCCATCCACATAATTCTCAGGGTTGACCTTGTGTTGCCCCTGCTTACATTCCAGTGCCGGAGTAGTTCATCATTATCAACATTATGAGTGACCCCCACTGTAGGGACAAAACATCAAGCTGTCTGGGTCAGACAAAAACATACAAACATACACCGTAACAAATGACTCTTTGGATCAACAAAAAAAATACTTTAACTGGTTACAAGTAAATAAGTTAGGTTTTCTCAATTGAAAAAAACAATGTTTATTGAAAGCAAATATATATGATTAACTTAGATTATTAACAAACAATAATTCAAGTTGCAACCTATTTCTTTCAACGCTCAACTTACTTTTCCCCTTTAATAAATAACATAAATCCAAACTAATATTTAATGTACAGTGGGGAAAAAAAGTATTTAGTCAGCCACCAATTGTGCAAGTTCTCCCACTTAAAAAGATGAGAGAGGCCTGTAATTTTCATCATAGGTACACGTCAACTATGACAGACAAAATGAGAAAAAAAATCCAGAAAATCACATTGTAGGATTTTTAATGAATTTATTTGCAAATTATGGTGGAAAATAAGTGTTTGGTCAATAACAAAAGTTTCTCAATACTTTGTTATATACCCTTTGTTGGCAATGACACAGGTCAAACGTTTTCTGTAAGTCTTCACAAGGTTTTCACACACTGTTGCTGGTATTTTGGCCCATTCCTCCATGCAGATCTCCTCTAGAGCAGTTATGTTTTGGGGCTGTCGCTGGCCAACACGGATTTCAAATCCCTCCAAAGATTTTCTATGGGGTTGAGATCTGGAGACTGGCTAGGCCACTCCAGGACCTTGAAATGCTTCTTACGAAGCCACTCCTTCGTTGCCCGGGCGGTGTGTTTGGGATCATTGTCATGCTGAAAGACCCAGCCACGTTTCATCTTCAATGCCCTTGCTGATGGAATGAGGTTTTCACTCAAAATCTCACGATACATGGCCCCATTCATTCTTTCCTTTACACGGATCAGTCGTCCTGGTCCCTTTGCAGAAAAACAGCCCCAAAGCATGATGTTTCAATCCCCATGCTTCACAGTAGGTATGGTGTTCTTTGGATGCAACTCAGCATTCTTTGTCCTCCAAACACGACGAGTTGAGTTTTTACCAAAAAGTTCTATTTTGGTTTCATCTGACCATATGACATTCTCCCAATCCTCTTCTGGATCATCCAAATGCACTCTAGCAAACTTCAGACGGGCCTGGACATGTACTGGCTTAAGCAGGGGGACACGTCTGGCACTGCAGGATTTGAGTCCCTGGCGGCGCAGTGTGTTACTGATGGTAGGCTTTGTTACTTTGGTCCCAGCTTTCTGCAGGTCATTCACTAGGTCCCCCCATGTGGTTCTGGGATTTTTGCTCACCGTTCTTGTGATCATTTTGACCCCACGGGGTGAGATCTTGCGTGGAGCTCCAGATCGAGGGAGATTATCAGTGGTCTTGTATGTCTTCCATTTCCTAATAATTGCTCCCACAGTTGATTTCTTGAAACCAAGCTGCTTACCTATTGCAGATTCAGTCTTCCCAGCCTGGTGCAGGTCTACAATTTTGTTTCTGGTGTCCTTTGACAGCTCTTTGGTCTTGGCCATAGTGGAGTTTGGAGTGTGACTGTTTGAGGTTGTGGACAGGTGTCTTTTATACTGATAACAAGTTCAAACAGGTGCCATTAATACAGGTAACGAGTGGAGGACAGAGGAGCCTCTTAAAGAAGAAGAATTTTCCACCATAATTTGCAAATAAATTCATTACAAATCCTACAATGTGATTTTCTGGAAATTAAATTCTCAATTTGTCTGTCATAGTTGACGTGTACCTATGATGAAAATTACAGGCCTCTCTCATCTTTTTAAGTGGGAGAACTTGCACAATTGGTGGCTGACTAAATACTTTTTTTCCCCAATGTATATACAACCAATTTTTTCATCTTGTTCCAAGCTAATTTTTTATTTGATATTACCTATCCAAATTTCTTCAATTGGATTACAAGCAATTAAATCATTTCCCTGTATCAAGAAATTCAGTTGGTTCAATAACATGAAATAATGATTAAGTTCACATTCTTTACATAGACTTTCAAATGTATTGACTTCAATAGTGTAATCAAATGGTAACTAGTTTTCCAATGAAAACTTTACCAAGCTCTTTAGTATCGTTGCAAGCAAGTATCATTACAGATTCAGTGTTGGCAGTGCACATGTTATACCTTGTATATAGAATACAACAAAGCAGATTAACTGGAATGACATTCACTCTCACAGATGGCCAAAAATAACAGTCTGAAAGCCACGTCCCCAATAAGACACACCTTTAACTCTTCTGATAGGCTGCTGCCGCTACATTGCCCCCACCGCTATGCAATGTGCATCTGCATGAGTTGTTGAAAGCAATTTAGAAGCGTTCATTCAATTTAAAAAATCACATTGATCTGTCAAACTCATTATTTTATTTCAGACAAATTGAGTAGAATAGGTTTAACAAACCAAAACGTAACTTTAGATCATACCAATCAGTAAAAGCACTTCAGATAACAACAGCGCCGTCCCACTTTTTACAGTGTAGAGCTCACAACACACACACACTCATGAGGTACAGTGAGGGAAAAAAGTATTGGTAACACACTTTGCCGTGAAGGTCTGAAATCCTGCAGCGCCCGCAAGGTCCCCCTGCTCAAGAAAGCACATATACATGCCCGTCTGAAGTTTGCCAATGAACATCTGAATGATTCAGAGGAGAACTGGGTGAAAGTGTTGTGGTCAGATGAGACCAAAATGGAGCTCTTTGGCATCAACTCAACTCACCGTGTTTGGAGGAGGAGGAATGCTGCCTATGACCCCAAGAACACCATCCCCACCGTCAAACATGGAGGTGGAAACATTATGCTTTGGGGGTGTTTTCTGCTAAGGGGACAGGACAACTTCACCGCATCAAAGGGACGATGGACGGGGCCATGTACCGTCAAATCTTGGGTGAGAACCTCCTTCCCTCAGCCAGGGCATTGAAAATGGGTCGTGGATGGGTATTCCAGCATGACAATGACCCAAAACACACGGCCAAGGCAACAAAGGAGTGGCTCAAGAAGAAGAACATTAAGGTCCTGGAGTGGCCTAGCCAGTCTCCAGACCTTAATCCCATAGAAAATCTGTGGAGGGAGCTGAAGGTTCGAGTTGCCAAACGTCAGCCTCAAAACCTTAATGACTTGGAGAACATCTGCAAAGAGGAGTGGGACAAAATCCCTCCTGAGATGTGTGCAAACCTGGTGGCCAACTACAAGAAACGTCTGACCTCTGTGATTGCCAACAAGGGTTTTGCCACCAAGTACTAAGTCATGTTTTGCAGAGGGGTCAAATACTTATTTCCCTCATTAAAATGCAAATCAATTTATAACATTTTTTACATGCATTTTTCTGGATTTTTGTTTTGTTATTCTGTCTCTCACTGTTCAAATAAACCTACCTTTAAAATTATAGACTGATCATGTCTTTGTCAGTGGGCAAACGTACAAAATCAGCAGGGGATCAAATACTTTTTTCCCTCACTGTACATATTATGTGTGAGTGAGAAAATGATGGAGTGAGTGTCTGTGTGTGTTGGAGTGACAGTGTGTGTAAGTGTGTAGGGCCCTGTGAGTATGCATAGAGACAGTGAAAATATTGAAATATCAATAAAGATACAAGGTAAACTCAGTCCATGTAGCTATGTTGTTAGCTATTTATCAGTGGATGTGTGTGTGTGTGTGTGTGTGTGTGTGTGTGTGTGTATGTTGTGTGTGTGTGTGTATGTGTGTGTGTGCGGTTTGTGTGTGTGTTTTTGTGTGTTTTTGTGTGTGAAGGCAGATGTCTGCTCGGAGAGGTTAGCAGTGACATGGTTCAACACCACAATGAATGAAAACAAGAGAGGGGTAGAAAAACTAAATAAGGGAGGACGTTAGAGACATAGAGGGAGTTGGGGAGAGTGTGCCACTTTGTTTGGATGAGTTCAGATGTGAACTTTCAATGTTTCGCCTGAAGGTTAATTACTTTGTAATGCATAAGTGCTTTAGTGTAGCTGCTGAAGAAGTGTCATAATGTTGTACTGCAGGTGCTCTAACTGTGTGTTATGCAACGGGTATTCCCCTCCTTGTCACACGATTGGAGGTTTTATTAGACAGCTGTGGCCCAAGGCAGAGTTGAAATGTTCAGATACCAAAGCCACACTCTAACCAGGTTTCAATCAAACATTTTTATGCGAGTAAAGTAACAGAACATTTTTCGGTAAACATTCCAAATGTCGACAAAACAAAATACGCTAGACATTGTGGGATCTTTTTGTGTCGGTAAAATGAATTATGTGAAAAATGTTGGTGGAAAAGCTTTTATGCGCAAATATTGATATAATAACAATCATATCAAAGTAAACTTGGAGTCACGTGATGACATGTTGTGTGGTCCTCCCACTACTACTCATCGGGAAAGCATGCAGTTTATTAGGTTACAGATTAAATAAATTATGATGAACTTCACAGGGAGGTGAAAGTGCAAGGTGATGAGCTTGATGCTCCTTTCCAATAAATATCAAGGGTCTTATTCTGGTGACTTGATAATCAATGCTTGGCTGCCTTTGACAAATAAAAATAATCTTGCTCCTTTGTCCATAATAGTAATCTCATCATGTAGGCTTTATATGCTCTCTAGCATGTGCCAATACCAGAGTGTGCACACTCACTATATAAAACAAAATCTTTCATGAAAGATTCATCAGTAGAGTTGAAAATGAGATGGAAACCCATTTAACTTGTATTTTTTATTCGGTACATGGGAATTTAACCGCAAAAGTTTTGTATGTGCACTACATCATCACGCACAGCCTTTTATCTGCAACAACTCAATTTGATGGAAACACATCTGGTGGGAAAATGTGTATATGGTTTTTATGCAGAATTTAGAATATTCGCATGAAAATCTGTCTCCAAATGGATGGAAACCTAGCTACTATGGAGGATAAAATACAGTTATTTTAACCCTGCCTGACACCAACGGCAGCATCACACAAGCTGCCACACCGCAGTCTCAGAGCCATACTGTATGAGGGTTTTGTGTGTGTGTGTGTGTGTGTGTGTGTCTGTGTGTGTTTGTGTGTGTGTGTGTGTGTCTGGAATTCAAATGGAATGCATCTTCATCCCCTGTCTCTCTGTGTTCCCCAGGATGGATGAGAACTACAGCATTATCCCCCACGGGGTTAACTTCCAAGACCCAATCTTCCCAGACACACCAGAGAACCACCATATGTTCGCCAGCCTCTTCCAGTTCTCCAACTGCACGGCCGGAACCATGGTCCACACCTACACCCCAGAGTGGGAGGCTCAGGAGGACAGCCGGGTACGAATTCAACTAATCTATCACTCCGGTTTTTATGTGCCTTTGTTAAGAAAGTCTCAACAGCAACTCCTGAACAGCAGCTCCTAAACCACCAAAGAACAAGACTGGCAAAGTAAAACCACCTAGGTTGGAAGAATCTCATCAAAACACATGCAGGAAACCTTTGACAGACACACTAATAGACAGCTGATCAATTTTCCTTGCTATTACCCCTTAATCCATTTTGGTCCCTCCATGGCTGAGGTAGCATGCAGCGTACGATGTCCTAGCAAGTCTTCCATGATCATTTGCACTTGAGAGACCAGGAAGCATTAACTAAAGGGCAGCGCTGCAGAGTATTGTATGTTATGCTTAACCTCCCCTTAACCCCCAATCAGGGAACTTTGCCTATCATGAAAGGGATCACAATAGGAGCCCCCACTTCACAGGGGATGGAATTGCATGCTATCCAGAAATCATTCTGCTAATGGTGGCTTGTGGTTAGGGCTAACCACAGTCTTCAAAGGTCCAGTGAGGAGAGGATTGTAAGTGTAATATGTTATTGGTGTCTGGGAGACCAGAATTCTTTGAGTGGTGGATAGAGGCCCTGCTCTGATGAGTAGTTGGTCCAGGCAGTCAGACTCCCCTTGGTCAGAGCTCTGTTGTGCTTCTCTCTCATGTGTGTCAATGCTGGGTAGAGTATGTTGGCTGTAGAGCAGGATGTGGGATGCGGCTGATAGACAGGGAGCAGCAGGCATTTTAACCGTCTATGGAGTTTTCTACTATGAGCACAGAACTTACCTTTATTATACTGTCTGAGCCTTTCATACCAATGTTATGGTAGGTGGGCAGCCATCGGTTTAGTGATGACTGTAAATATAGATAGAAATGATTGGATCAGTTTCAAAGCCCTGTCTCGTGGTCAGCGGGACATTGTTGCTCATAAAATCCAGATTGAAGTAGTTTGAGGGAAAAGTGTGCCTCATACACATTGTAAAATACCTAAATGCTAATTAACATACCGATGAGTATGAAGTCTACACATTTCTGCATAACATATCCATGGCTCAACTCAACGTTTCAGTGTCAATTTGCAAGATCAACACCCGTGATCACGTCATCGTGTCACGCATAGTCCCTCTTTAGAAACTAATAATCTGGCATTTCAACGTCTTTGGATTCTGTTAATTGAACTCATGATTTACATCAGTCTTCCCTGTTTCCAATCATGTGCTGACTACACATAAAATCCTTCTGTCACGGTGACGGAATAAGAATAGGCTTATGTTTCCATTAATGACCACATCTTAGCTCAAATCTGTAATCAGAGGCAAATCCAAGGCAATGCACAAAGTAATTCTTATGATTACACTGTTATTACTAAATAACTGAATGGAATGGCTAGGCCCACAGGCTGGACTGCTGGACAGCATAACGCAGTCATATTCTGTCATCATGCCACACAGACATGACTGTGACTGTTGTGTAAGAGTGACAGTCTAGGGTCTTCACATGTAAAACTAATGATAATTACCCAACACACATACTGTTATGATTATAGTCGTAGATTTCCTGGGTTAGACTGAAATTCTCATATGCCCACGGGGATACTCTTAACTGGGGCACGCAGCTGTTTTGCCTCAAAAACCTTTAAGATGTCCCTCTGCTAACGTGGGAAAATGTCCCAGTAAGGCTGGAAATCTATTTCTTACTGGATGAGTGTCAAAATGGCATGTTATGTCTATGTTTCTGTTGAGTCTAGGTCCCTACCATTATGACCACAGTGATAAATCTTCCATCTGCCACTTGAGATTAGTGTTTGTTGGTTTGGTTGTGTAAACAGTTGAATGTATTACTATTTTTAAAACTGGGTTGGCTGCCATGGGAATGATATGATAGGGATAGCATTCAGAGATGTCTACGACTTTGGAAGCAAGCGCATCAACTCTGTAGCTGTGGTGCAGGTGTGGACCATACGTGGGAGGTAGATGCTCCGATCACAGTCCAGATATTTTCAAGACTCCAGACATGTTCAAGGGCAATTAAATAGGTATGTGTCCACAATGGAGTTTGGTTTGGGAAACCATGGACTATCCCATAACAATGGTAGGGAGATGTGGAGATAGGGACTTTACTGTAGGTACCTCTGGTCTGAGTGAAACACATACCCAGTTAAAACACAAAACTCCATCTCTCCTTCCATCTAATTATGTTCCCTGGAATTTGCTGTTTAGGGTTACCTGCTGAGTGGCCTGGTTGGTCTAGAGGTAATGCTGCAGCCTCCGACACACATACTGTATCTACAGTGTCAGCATAGGTTTGAATCTGGCCTACTGCCCTTTCACACAACGTCTCTCTATATTTCCCCACGGCCATCCTCTCTCTATATCTGTTCAATAATGTCAGAAAATACCTTAAAAATATATATTTTAAAAAATAGTTACCTGCTGAGCCTCTAGAGCAGTGGTCACCAACCACTCAAGATCACTTTCACAGTCAAAAAGCAAGCTTGAGATCTACCGCTCAGATTTTCTTTTTAAACATGACTTTAAAAATGTAACATTAACCTAATAAAAACAGTTCTGTAGGAATGAGGTTTGTGCAGTAGGACTAATACATTAAATCAAATTAAATGTTATTTGTCACATGCGCCGAATACAACAGGTGTAGACCTTACTGTGAAATACTTACTTACGAGCCCTTTAACCAACAATGCAGTTCAATAAACTAAAGTAAAAAAATTAAATAAAAAGTAACACAAGAAAATAACAGTAACGAGGCTAAATACAAGTGGTACCGGAACCGAGTCAATGTTTTGAGGATCTGGGGACCCATGCCAAATCTTTTCGGTATCCTGAGGGGGAAAAGGTGTTGTCGTGCCCTCTTCACGACTGTCCTGGTGTGTTTGGACCATGATAGGTTGTTGGTGATGTGGACACTAAGGAACTTTAAACTCTCGACCTGCTCCACTACAGCCCCGTCGATGTGAAGGGGGGCGTGTTCGGCCCTCCTTTTCCTGTAGTCCACGATCATCTCCTTTGTCTTTCTCACATTGAGGGAGAGGTGTTGTCCTTGCACCACACTGCCAGGTCTCTGACCTCCTCCCTATAGGCTGTCACATCGTTGTCGGAGATGAGGCCTACCACTGTTGTGTCGTCAGCAAACTTAATGATGGTGTTGGCGTCGTGCTTGGCCATGGAATCGTGGGTGAACAGGGAATACAGGAGGGGACTAAGCACGCACCCCTGAGGGGTCCCTGTGTTGAGGATCAGCGTGGCAGATGTGTTAGTGCCTAGCCTTACCACCTTGGGGCAGCCCGTTAGGAAGTCCAGGATCCAGTTGCAGAGGGAGGTGTTTAGTCCCAGGGTCTTTAGCTTAGTGATGAGCTTTGTGGGCACTATGGTGTTGAATGCTGAGCTATAGTCAATGAACAGCATTCTCACATACAGTGGGGAAAAAAAGTATTTAGTCAGCCACCAATTGTGCATGTTCTCCCACTTAAAAAGATGAGAGAGGCCTGTAATTTTCATCATAGGTACACGTCAACTATGACAGACAAATGGAGAGAAATAAATCCAGAAAATCACATTGTAGGATTTTTTATGAATTTATTTGCAAATTATGGTGGAAAATAAGTATTTGGTCACCTACAAACAAGCAAGATTTCTGGCTCTCACAGACCTGTAACTTCTTATTTAAGAGGATCCTCTGTCCTCCACTCGTTACCTGTATTAATGGCACCTGTTTGAACTTGTTATCAGTATAAAAGACACCTGTCCACAACCTCAAACAGTCACACTCCAAACTCCACTATGGCCAAGACCAAAGAGCTGTCAAAGGACACCAGAAACAAAATTGTAGACCTGCACCAGGCTGGGAAGACTGAATCTGCAATAGGTAAGCAGCTTGGTTTGAAGAAATCAACTGTGGGAGCAATTATTAGGAAATGGAAGACATACAAGACCACTGATAATCTCCCTCGATCTGGGGCTCCACGCAAGATCTCACCCTGTGGGGTCAAAATGATCACAAAAATCCCAGAACCACACGGGGGGACCTAGTGAATGACCTGCAGAGAGCTGGGACCAAAGTAACAAAGCCTACCATCAGTAACACACTACGCCGCCAGGGACTCAAATCCTGCAGTGCCAGACGTGTCCCCCTGCTTAAGCCAGTACATGTCCAGGCCCGTCTGAAGTTTGCTAGAGTGCATTTGGATGATCCAGAAGAGGATTGGGAGAATGTCATATGGTCAGATGAAACCAAAATAGAACTTTTTGGTAAAAACTCAACTCGTCGTGTTTGGAGGACAAAGAATGCTGAGTTGCATCCAAAGAACACCATACCTACTGTGAAGCATGGGGGTGGAAACATCATGCTTTGGGGCTGTTTTTCTGCAAAGGGACCAGGACGACTGATCCGTGTAAAGGAAAGAATGAATGCGGCCATGTATCGTGAGATTTTGAGTGAAAACCTCCTTCCATCAGCAAGGGCATTGAAGATGAAACGTGGCTGGGTCTTTCAGCATGACAATGATCCCAAACACACCGCCCGGGCAACGAAGGAGTGGCTTCGTAAGAAGCATTTCAAGGTCCTGGAGTGGCCTAGCCAGTCTCCAGATTTCAACCCCATAGAAAATCTTTGGAGGGAGTTGAAAGTCTGTGTTGCCCAGCGACAGCCCCAAAACATCACTGCTCTAGAGGAGATCTGCATGAAGGAATGGGCCAAAATACCAGCAACAGTGTGTGAAAACCTTGTGAAGACTTACAGAAAACGTTTGACCTGTGTCATTGCCAAAAAAGGGTATATAACAAAGTATTGAGAAACGTTTGTTATTGACCAAATACTTATTTTCCACCATAATTTGCAAATAAATTCATAAAAAATCCTACAATGTGATTTTCTGGATCTTTTTTTCTCATTTTGTCTGTCATAGTTGACGTGTACCTATGATGAAAATTACAGGCCTCTCTCATCTTTTTAAGTGGGAGAACTCACACAATTGGTGGCTGACTAAATACTTTTTTTCCCCACTGTAGGTGTTCCTTTTGTCCAGGTGGGAAAGGGCAGTGTGGAGTGTGATTGAGATTGCGTCATCTGTGGATCTG